AGTTTTAGCCTTATACACGGACTTTTGCAGCACTGATGCCTGTGTCACTGCGGGGGGTGGGGGAGGGAAACTCCTCCCCTCCCCCCCTCCCCCTTCTGGATCCGACTGTGGTTTGAGCCCAGTACGTCACAAATTCTAACTGTTGTGATCCCAAGCGATTTTGCTAGGCACGAAATATTGCAAAAACGCATGATCACACGGGCCAGCCTGGTGCGCGTCGCCAATGATTTTTTTCTTTGGAGGGTACCGTTGTAGTTCAAAGTGAGCAGAGCTGTTGTAGCGAATTCGCCACATCTCTTTCCCTCTCCAGCAGTCGTACCCGCATCTTCCAGTAAATATGTAATTTCGCTTAAATCGTAAAAGTCAGTGGTGCCATGACCCTGCTTTGTAATTTGAATACATTTTTATAAGCTTAAAAAACGAATAGTGTAGGGGTTGATTTTACATAAGACTGCCGCAAAAATAATACAGGATATCAGTTTCTCAGTCCTTACACAATCTTGTAACGAAATGTTTGGTACTGTGCATCATTTTGTGGCTTGTTTCATGATCGTTACATTACGCGATCCGCTTCAAATATAAATCACATTTTTATGCATTTTGGACTGCAAAGCGGTGCAAAATGCTTGTTATCGAATCCCTTTCTGTGTATGTGTGCTTGGGTTTTTGTCCGAAGCTTTCAAGTTCGAGATGTTTTCTCCCATGTGCGACTCGATAAATAAGGATTCAACTTTCACGTGTCCCCAAGTCTTGCGTGCGGGCACGTATAGGTTTTGGTTAGAAATTTTGCAACTCTGAAATCAGGCGGAATAGAAGATTGCGTTTTTTGAACGATGTTTTCTGTAAATTTGTGTCACTGAAAATTCAAATTCCTCTTCCGCGTACATGTAGGTCTACATACTGAGTGTTTTGACTGAAGATTTTGTAATTCAGGGACCGGACAAGACAAAAAACTGAAATTTTCGGGCGGTTTTTTTATCCATGTGCGGCACTAGAAATTCCAGTTTTAGCTTCTGCGCATATCTTCATATCACGGGCGCGGTAAGGTCCGACGGTCCGGCAATGTTTTTTTTAAAACCACGTGGAAAATTGCGAAAAAACTCTGTCACCATTAGGATCGCTCAAAATGCAAACAGATAAGAAAGATGACGAAGCTGGACGAGTGGTTTTGCAGAAATTGAATGAAAACAAGAAAATTTCTACGTTGAGGTCTCCTCTCTATGGCAGGGACAGTCGATTTCCCAACTGCAGTGTGATGTATCGGAAAATGGTCATCCGTAACATTTGATGGCGTTCAGCTCAGTGCTTGTGTCTTGATAGAACCTAGCAGACGTCGAGTTAAAAGAAGTTCACAGTAACTGCAGCTCGCTCAATACGCGCTCTTTAGTAGGCGTGGGAGCGTTACATGCAACATAAAAACTCACGAAGTGCGTTGGATGCATTCCACGCTGGCTAAAAAGAAAGATGCAGATCTGCTGCATGAAACCCCTGGCTGTGCGACTTTTACAGCTTACACTGCAGATGTTCGACGTATCGTTCTACGGAATCCTCCCGACCTTGCTTGCCGCACATCTGCGCAAGCAGTTAGCAGTTTTTCAGGCACGTCGATACTTCTTTCAAGGACAATTTTTCAGGCACAGAGATTTCACCTAAAGTGCCTTCGAAGAATTCGTCAATTTCGGCATGTCCGATTTTCACGCACTGTAAAAAAACGAGCTGTGTAGGAAGCGAAGTTTCCTCAGCAGTGTTACAGTTTTTAAAAATAGGTATCAAAGAGTCAGGTTTTTGACGTTGTACAGGTGTGCAGTTCTGGTGTCGTTGATGTTGCTATCGTGCTTCAATGCCTTATCGCCAATTAACTTTGTTATAGAGCATTTTTTCAGCTCTTCTTGGTCTTCAGAAGGCGCTACATGCCGGCGCAGTTGTTGGCTTGATGTGTGCCTTCGGAAATACAGGATCGAGCTTGACCAGTGCAGAAATTAATGCACGAAAGGAGGGAATACAAGTATGTGCATGTGCTCTCGTAATCATTTCACACTTTGTTTCAGACAGTTGTACTGTATGGAAAGTGTACAGTATTATAGTGAATAGTCAGTCGGAGGGTGCCACAATTCTGTTCTGGAAAAAGTCCTTTTGTTTTTAGCATTCGCAGTGTTTAGCAGACTATCCTGTTTTATTAGTACAGTCCTCCAATGTTTCGTGGTGAAGGTTGGCATGTTGAAGCACTGAGCTGAATGAGGTGCGGTGACCTGTTGTAGATAGGATTTTGATGGCAACCGTGTGGAAATTGTCCCAGTAGGGTACTTTCCCAAAATTAACTTGCTCAGTCACGGAGATGCGTATGCGAGACAAGCACGCGAACACGTGCGCAGGCGATTGGAGTATGACGGAAATGTGGAGTGTGTATGGCTAGCAGTGTTGTTGACTGCAAAACATGGGTAGATTGATTTCGTATACTTCATGATGTGGGATGGCCGTTCTCCGCCCCTTTCCCCCACCTCTTCCTCCTCTTCCCTGCATGCTTGGACTCATGTGGGAGTACATGAAATTTTTGGCGCCAAAGCTGGCTCGGGAACCAGGGGAACTAGGAGACTGAAGTTTTAGAATAATGTTCTTTGTCGACGTACTACTCCGTTCCCTTGGACAGAGTTGCACAAGCGTTGGCTCGTCAGGGATGCACAGTTGTCCATCGGGCAGAACTGTGCATGCACTTGCTGGACAAGGTTACACAAAATGCATGATCACACCAGTTACCCTGGTGCTTACCACTACCTGTTATACGTTTTTTGCATCTGTGCAATGCAGAAACGCATTTTGTCGAAGGACTGTTAGTGTATGTGTATTTGTGTGTGTGTACGTGTGTGTGTGCGTGTGTCTGTGCGTTTGTGTGTGCCGAGTTTTCATCTTGAGACCTACAAAAGCTACAAGGCTGAAACCCTGGTAACTTAATTTACACCTATTCAAGACTTCCGTATTCGAGATTACCGCTCACGTCCACGTAACTTTTGCGTACGAGCACGTAAAAGATTTTTTGGCGGGAAAGCGATTTCGGGGACGGTATAAGCTACAAGGCTGAAACTTTACGAAGGTGTTCCTTACCCACATCCGATCCAAAGGTTTTAAACTCAATCTTTACGCACCCCCAAACCTCGCGTACGTATAAGTCAAAGGTTAAATTGTCATCGTGCCAACATGACAATTAAACCGACTAAAAAACTGTGGAGAGCTGGAATTTTTGCAACTTTGCTTGTCGCCTACTGGTGTGCTCGTTAAATTAAATTGAGCTTCCCAACCCCTCTACATCTCATATGCGGGTACGTGAAATTTGACGTGGACAGTTTTGTGACTTCGGAAATGAAGCAGCTAGTGAGCTGAAACTTTCTGAGCGTGGCCTACGTTGGCGTTTGACTTGGTGAACATGAAAGCAAATTTCACGCCCTTTTCATGTCTCACGCACACCTCACATACAAGCACATGAAATTTTGACGCAAATCCGCAACTAAATCAGCGCTGAAATTTTCTGGGCATGATCTACGGCTGTGTTTGAGCGATCGTGAGTTAAAAGAACTTTCACGTTTCTCCTTCATGTACAAATATGCGAAATTTGTGTAACTCAGCAACCTTAGCAGGATCTTGGGTGGAGCGACTTGGGCAATTTCTCTTCCCTCCCCCTCCCCCGCTCATTGCTTTTTAGCACTGTTACCTGTGTTACTGAGGAGTGAGGGGAGGGAGGGGGGGAAGACCCATTCCCTCCCCCCTGGATCTGCCTGTGCCTGCAATCAGAGTACCTGGACAGCTGAAATTTTCTGAGCGTGGTCCAGGATGGTGTTCGAGCAAACGTACATGAACACAGTAGCCACGTTTCCTCCTACGCGCGAACACATGAAATTTGACGTTACTACCCAACCGAAGCATCTAGAGTGCTGAATTTTTTTGAGCATGGATTAGAGTTACTGTATTAATTTCTCACAGTAGTGTGGCCTATCTCAATTCTTTTAGGTAGAAACATCTGCCGGAAAAAACAGTGCTGTTAGGCACAAAAACTTGCTGAGAAACTGTGCAAAAACCAGCAGTCGGTACGCTAGCCAATTATTATATGGAAGCGGAGCTTTTCAATTTTTTCTTAGTTGTTCAGGAATGGGATTAACTAGTGTAGGGAATTAAAGATGAGCGGTCTGGCTCTCCAGAGCCAGGAAAAGGGAATTCACCACGAAATTTTTTGTTGTGTTTCGTCATCTTTTATCACCTTAATTGTCCAGTAGCTGGATTGACTTTTATTGAGCTGCTCCTTTTCATGCGCATTTTAGACACCGTTCCGTCAGTAGTTGCTGTTTAACTTCTGTTCAGTCGCACTTTTCTAGTTTTCTTTCGATGATCTTTCCATCCGTGAGTGCAGAAAGAGGTTAGCGACTTTTCTGTGGAATATACTGCATTAAATGAATCACTGTTTCAGATACGTGAAGAGCCTTGTGCAGCAAAGGAGTTGATCGTAGTGGCTGGAACTCGTAGTGTTAGTGGCTACGCTGCGCCGTCGGGAACAGTAATTTCAGCATTCAATTCTTGCAAATCGCCCGTGCCGCTGATGGCCAGTGGAACGTTCATCATAGATTTTCTGGACAGTGGCCCGTTGGAAATCAGCGATGATGTCATTAAAGTCATTTTTATGCGTTTTGCGCTGTGCAACAGCAGCACAAAGCGCATATTGTCACGGGGTTGTCCCTGTGTGTATTTGTCTCTGTGTGTGTCTGTGTGTGTCCGAGTGTGTTTTGTCCCGCACTTTCAACTCGAGAACCATAAAAACTAGGCGGCTGAAATTTTAGGGGATTTTTCCGTCCCAGCATGCGGCCGCGCAAATTTAAACTCAGCTCGCCCGTACCCGCGAGTAAGACGTACGGCCCTATGAAAAATTTAGCGGAGAAAATTACAATCTTGGGGATCACGAAGACTAGGTAGCCGAAATTTTATGGGTGTATTCCCTGTCCATGTATGACTCAGGAAACTTGAATTTAGGCTTCCTATACCCGTGGGTAACAATTACGGCCCCGTGAAAGTTTTGACGGGGAAGATTATTATCATGGGAACCACGGGAGCTAGGAAGCTCAAATTTTCTGGGTATGTCCCCTACTCACGTGCAACCCAGAAAAATTTAAGTCCAGCTTTCCTGTGCGCTTGAGTATCACATATGACCTCGTGAAGATTTCTGACGAAAAATTGTCCCGGGAACCATGAAAGCGAGGAAGCTGAAATTTAACGAGAATGTTTTCCGTCCTCGTGCGATATCATAAATTCAAAATCAGTTCTCAGTCAAGCCTGGGTCTCAATTAACCCCCATGAAAGTTTCGGTGGGAAAAATTACTGTCTCGGAAGCCATAAAAGATAGGAAGCTGAAATTTTGGAAAAATGCGACCTCGCAGAATCAGATGCAGCTTTCATGTGCACCTGAGTCTCTTGTGCGGTCCTGCGAAAGTTTTGGTTGGAAAAATTATTATCCAGGCAACCAGAACAGCTATGGGGCTGAAATTTCAAGAGGATGTTTTGTGCCTGTGCAGACACGTTAGAAACTCAAGTTTAGCTTCCAACTATGCCAAGATCTTACGTACGATCAAGTGAGAGTTTTAATGCGAAAGTCACTAGCTTGGAAGTCGGGAAACTGGGAGGTTGAAATTTGGAAGGGTGTTCTCCCTCCAAGGTTTCAAATTCTGTTTTCATATACTGACATTTCAGATTTTTGGTGGGCATTTCGTAAGTTTAGGAGCCAGACAGCATACTGATTATTTTTCCACACACGAAAGTGTAAAGTAGTGAAAATCCTCAGCAGACACACGTCCGCTCGACGGAATTGCGCAAAATGCATGACCGCACTGGCTAACCTGGTGCGCCCCGTTATTTATTATACGTTTTGTGCTACGCAACAGCTGTACAAAACATATTGTTGCAGGGTTGTCTGTATGTGTTTATGTATATGTGTATGTGCGTGTGCCCGATGCATTTTGTCCGCAACTTTCAACTCAGGAACCACAAAAGCTAGAAAGATGAAAAATTGGAGGGTTGTTCCTCGCCCTCGTGTGACCCTTAAATTTAATTTTAGTCTTTCCGTACGCTTGGATACCGTCGGCGACCCTTTGGAAGTTTTGACGGGAAGAATTATTATTTCGAGGACCGCAGGATTTAGGACGGGAAGAATTATTATCTCGAGGACCCATTTTCAACTCAGCAGCCAGGAAAGCAAAGAGGCAGAGTTTTTGGGGGCATATTCCCACCCCGTGTGTCACCCTACCGTTTTAGTATCTTCC